TAAGATGTAGAGTATAGAATTCAAGGAAAGTGATCTTAATCTAGTTTAAGCTCACTGAGGCCTAGGAAAAAAATGTGGTGTTTCCAGTTTCAGTCCTGAAAAACTTAGGGTCAGTAGGTATGGATTATCTTCTTTTTTTTTTCCTTTTTTTTTTAGACGTCAGTGATATCTATATAGGGGTCCAACTTATACAATACAGTTTAACAAAGTAAAACTTGCAACAGGACACTTTTATTTTCAATGTCAATGTTAGAAAACCAGTTGTACAATGTTTTATAACTGGGAAAACATTTTATAATGGGAAACAGGAAACACAACATTCTTTTCTCCTAGGCCTGAAGAACTTATCTCTCACTGTTCATGGCAGAGAAGACAGGACATAAAAATTTTGTCTGACATAAACGGCAAAATTCTGTCAAATGACGAAAAGACAGATGCTGGCTAGAACACTCATCATATCTATCAGTTCAACAAGCCACTAGACTCAAGTGGAGGCCTGCAAGGGGGGTCCCGACAACGCTCTACGCTGAATTCGGAAACCTCTCGATTACGCTTTATGATAAATTCCAAGTGGCTACAACACAATACGTAGAATTAAAATGGCAAATACACTCTACGCAAAATGCACCAACTACGCTCTACGTTGAATTACAGCGGTATGTCTACGCTCTATGTAGAATTAAACCGGCCGATTACGCTCTAAGGAAAAGGGCTTGCGGGCCCCCTCAAGTTATCTCACCTGTCCTGGGGATGATGATGATGAACCTGGCACTTGCGGCCAGCTGTTTGATGATGGGCATGTGATCACACAGCACGCCGGCATCTGGGACCAGGTAGGGGGACAGCGCCTGCCCTGTCACCTGCAGGCTGCCCTCCAGCTGTCGCACCTCTGACTGTAGGGAACAGCAATTTCATACTTGTTTACTTCAGCATGGTATGCTGTACTAAGGCCATGTTGATTTGATTATATGGATGACATCTAAGTGTGTATGAGTTTTCGTCTATGTCAAAAAAAAGTTTGGAGCAAATATATTCAGTAAGTTGCAAGAAAAAAAATATCGAAAGACGATACTACAATGTAATGTAGTAGAATGACAAAATCAGCTCCAAAGAAAAAGTGATTTAAAAATGTCTCTTACTTGCCACACCGTACTCTGTGTGTTTAGTCATTTGTTGAACCTTCTTGACCACATAGTTTTCATAATGAAGGCAACTTTTTTTTGCCAAATTTTTTTTTCCGCATGCTCGCATCAGTTTTGGGGTTCCCAGAGGATGTCATTCATATAATCAAATCAACAAAGAACAACAAAATTAATTAACATCAGTCAGGAATGATGACCATGATGGACAGTATTTTGTAACGCTTTTTAACAGGATTTTAAGTTATTAACCTTTGCATACCAAGGCAGTAGTAGTTTGTCTACCAATTCTCCATTAGTTACAGGGTTAGGCAGCAGGGTTAAACAATAAAATGCTGCAGTATATTATGGTCACTTGTGGATATGATGCCATCTAGCAATATTTGTCTAGACTGCACAGTGGTTACAACAGTGGTCCCCTGGGGATGTCAGAACGCAAAGAGTTCTACAGAATAGGATCTTGAAATATGTACGCATTCCTACAATACATGAAGATATCAGATTGTCCTATTCATGTTGAGCAATATGACACAGAAACTAAATTCATTAGCAGTGAGTACTGCCATTATCTTGAAGGTTTACTGAAACAATGTACCTCTGCTGCAAAATTGCAAATGGGAATTTCCAAAGTCAAACCTGGATTGGAGACGACTTAGATGAAAGATTACGCCTGCTGCAAATGACAATGTTTCCAATTAATTGTTCCATCCTACCGGCCCAAAATTCTCTGCAAGACACCTCACAGGAGACCAGTGGAAATCTACCCACTAAATCTGTACTTACCCGACTTTGTCCTCCACAGTCCCTTATGGCTTGTTAATTACATCATTCCATTTTTTTTAGCCTCTTGACAAGGCCAGAGAGTCGAAATGGCTTTTCCAGCTATGAAATCTTATGGGAGACAATCATAATGCGGGCTGCCATAATTTGCCCGGAACACTGCATGCAGTTTTAACTCTCCCGAAGGACTGGAAAGTCTTGCTCCCCTGGTCCCTATGGCACACACACACCTCTGGGTGCCTAAAGACTTATGGCCACTGATAAAGTAGTTGACACAGGGGATCCCACGAGACTGTCTTTTGTTTATGTTTTGTCTGACTAATTTGATTGGATCACATGATTTGTGTGTGGCACCTGCTTTGTGATGAAAGCTGCCCCCTGGCAGATTACTGTTTCCCTGCAGAGCATGCACCTGAGCATGAACAGGTGCAACCACTGACTGTAACAGGAGGGGTGTGCAACTTGTCAGTTATGGGAAATCTAGTGACTTTGTACAGTACTGCAGGAGACAGTGTACATGTGCATGGGTGTGATATCTCGTGTTGTGGACATGCTATGGTTTTGATATTTAGTAGGTAGGTTGGGGTAGTACATGTACGTATTAAAGGACAACTATGGATAATCTAGTTTTCACCATTACTTTCTGAGTGTTTCATGTGAATCTCTCTCAATATTAATTATAAAGGCATCAAATGCAATTTCGGGGTGCCAAAACTGGATTTTTAAAGTCAATTTTCTGGTCATTCTTTTTATGTATCAAGTTGAATCGATCCTATCCCATAACATACTGATATCTGTAAGGCAAAAATGCAATATTGTTGACGGAACATGGTTGCTTGTTTTGTTTGATAAGGTGTTTCTAGCTTTTTATCGGTAGAACCCAAAAATTAAAGAGATGCCTCATGTAGCTTGCTTTGGGGCTTTTTCAAACACTTCAAGTATGGAATGATAACAAAAAGGTCCTAAGAAACGGCATTTTTTTAATGTCAAATGTGAGACAGATTTTCACATCCAGAATATTTTTTGTTTTGCTGCCCTAAAATTGGAATTACAAATGTATCTTTCTTAAACAAAAGAATGGAATTCTGCTATTAAGCTGAAATAGAGTACCGGTATGCATGACTCCTCATACAGAAAACTGACTTTTGTTGCCACTCTGAAACCCTTTGACAGCCCTGATCCATGCCCTTTTTTATTTACCAGTCAGGCCATGTTGATTTGATTATATGGATGACATCCTGCGAGAACCCCAAAACTGATGCGCGCGTGCGAATAAAAAAAAGTTTTGCAAAAAAAAAAAAAGTTCTTTTCATTATGAAATCTACGTGGTCATGAGGGTTGAGCAAATGGCACAGAATATGGTTTGGCGAATAATCTATTCTTCAAATTCATTTCTTTACAATTTCATCTTTTTTCGTTTGATTTTGGCATTCTACGACATTGGTATAGTTTTCATTAATTTTTTTTTGTAACATATGGTATATTTTTGCTCATTTTGCAACTGTTTTGTACGATTTACAGTATGGTTGAAAACTTTTTTTTTTTGGAAACGGCCGAAAATTCATGCGCGCGCGGATGTCATCCATAGAATCAAACCAACATGGCCTCACTACATACAGAGGACGTCCCTTATGGCATATCCTCTAGACCACGGGTCATGTCCTCACAGTTCACTCACCACACCTTCCAGGCTCCGCCTCATAAATGGTGATGTATGGCGGGAATCCAGCTTTCCGATTTGTCAAAGCCAGGACCCTCTGATAGCCTTGGAGCCTGCCTGCTTATGCCTCCCTAATTGGAGTAATACGCCATCCCGGTTAGATTAACCGCCGATTCCCAGTGGGACAACCCGCCCCATGGCTTTGACCTTCTTAACTGGAACCAGTAGACCGGCGTGGCGAGGCTATGCTCATTACTGCATTCCTGGGTGTTGTCTGTATCCCCAGTATCATGAGGTAGTGGCACCAGTGGTAAGGTTTCATCCTGATAACAGGAAACACTTGCAATCTGTGGGCTAGGAATACCTGGCATCACTGCCTCCGGGCCAACAAGTTAATCTGGACCTGGACTTGTACCAGGCAGGCTGCCTAAACTAACATAAACATTCGGTTAAACGTGTCCAAGCGACCACCTCTGTAAGCCACCTCTGTAAGCCGGCCCTCTGGACTTAACGACCGCTTTTTGTCAGTCCCAACTTTTGTCCCATAGGCGTAAGCTTTATGGGACTTGCCTTAACCGACCACTTATCCAATGCGACTTGGGCACTATTTGAAACCGCACATGACCAAATCTCTGCCAATGATGACCTCTCATCATTTTCAAGCGTGTGGCGTAAAAAAAATTTTTGATGATAACTAGCAAGAAATGATGAAGGAATCAGCCAGTTTGCCATTGATTTCAAGAGCATGACATCTTTGCCCAATGTAAAATGGCACTGGCTGGGTCACGCAAGCAGTCTATTGTAAAATCAGTGGAAGTTTTGATGTAGTTTTCATGTTCTCTGTCTTGTCTTGTCGCCATGTGCTCTGTACAAGAGGATCACTTGTCTACAAAGACCACTTCCATATCCAACTTGGTTCTGCAAAATCCGTCTCAGCTATGATTAGTACCTTGCTGACCGGCTTAATCTGGAATTGAGCTGCATAGGAAGCATTCCCACTAGGGTAAAGTTGACCAGCAATCTATTTGGCTCGATCCTGACAATTTTATCCTAGTGTGAATGGAGCCAAAGTTAGAGATGGTAGAAAACTGAGCCAGCAGTGTCGAGGATTGACCCACCTGCAGTCTGAGTTGGGCCATGTCCCTCATCAGCTGGTTCCTCCTGGACTCCTCCTCTGCCTGGAGAAACAACACAGAGACAGGAAATACAGGTTAAGTAAATGTTACAGTACAATCTACACAAACAAGTACAGCTTTCATTATTACTGTACAGGGCTCAATTTTTTTTCTGCAAACTTACATGTATATGGTCAGTACAAAAGGGTGCATGGACCAGTGTAGGTAGACATCAGAAACACCTGCACATCTCCAATTTTACCTGCACCAACCTGCATATACCCAGTACATGGACCAGTGCAGGTTAGGTGCAGGTAAACATCAGAAATACCTGCACAGCTCCAATTTTACCTCCACTAACCTGCATATACCCAGTACATGGACCAGTGCAGGTTAGGTGCAGGTAGACATCAGAAATACCTGCACAGCTCTAATTCTACCTTCACTAACCTGCATATACAGGTGGTATTTGGAGCCCCACTGTATATTCAAGGGACAAGGTTATAATCATGTACATGTATGTATAGAGTTTTCAATACAGTTAAAGTCATGTGGAATTGGTTAGTGATTAAAAGGCAGTGATTAAAACAGAAGGGGGCAGTCGTTAAAACTATCATGATGCCATAATATCACTCCCACAAGTACCAACAGATACATGTCTGGAATAACAGACCGAGTATGTTTCTTATTAACCCTGCTGTACTGTACTTGTTATTTGGGAAAATGATTAACAATGTAAGTGATCTCATGTCATGAATACCGGTACCCTTAGAACTAACACTTTTTAGCATGTTTTATTGTTTGACCAAGAAACACTGCTGTTGCATAGCTTAAGTGTCAGTAACCATGTTTAGCTGTCAAATTCATGCAAAGAAATTTCGGCATGTTTTATACAGGTATATGGCTACTCCAAAACATCTACGGTGCCTCAGTAGCCAGTGGTGCATACTGGTACACTGGAATGAATCAGAACTGGAAAACGTTTTAGTCCAAATATGAGTGCATTGATGTATTTCAGTGTTATATTAACTGCATTTGTTGGATCTTTTTGACTCTAGTATCATCTATAGTACATGTATAAGTAAAAAAAAAAATAATGAAAAAAGTGAATCCCTAATTTTTTCAGGACTGTGATAGAAAACATAACATTAGCTTTCCTAGACCAAATCTAAAGAAAGTGAGAACACATGAACTTGATGATGTCAAGTTTATGAGATGATACGATGTGATCAGTGTAAGCAGAGCTGATAGTGTTAAACAAGCCTGGATGTCTGTCTTCTTGTTGCAAACTTGTTTTCCTGTCCTCAATCACTCCACCCTTCTGTCACCAGCTTCACCTGCACTTCATTAGCCAATCAAAACGTTTGCATGACAGGTCAGGGTCACGACCTCACCCAGGGGTTGATGGGAAGGGAAGCCGGAAGCCTGTGGAGTCTCAGTGGCTGCTCATTACACCCTCCAACCGCCCCGTGGGACTCCGATGAAAGCCTATCACTTGTGGTTCCTGCTTAAACTGATCAAAATGGGGGCCTGTGTTATACTATTACACACGACAACAACAGGGTAGCCAGAGGGCCTGCATCTGTCTTCCCAGTAATCACTGTTTTGTCTAGAGTGTTCCTCTGGAAATGACACATCTTTCAAGACCGAGCACTTACGGCTGGTAACTGGTCCAAACAAGCATTTGTCAACATAACGATCACGTTTTAGACATTCTTGGGAGCCTCATTTTCTACTGAAGAATCTTCAGTTAAATTACATGTACTGGTACTTCAAAGCAATGGTTTAACTTCAAGCAGTATCCTTGCTAACCTGCCAACTGAGTTGACATGACACATCATTAAACGTCTCAAACAAAAATTTCAAAAGAATCTTAATAGACAGCTGTTCTGCATATTATTCTAATTGTATCCACCATCAACAAAAAATAACCTGATTAAACTTTTTCCTCCCAATAAACTGGCAACAATATCTGACAATGTGAAAACTTCTGCAAATTGCTATGAGCAAAGAACAACACTTGAAAGAAGATAATAAAAGCAAAAAAAAAAGTTCTGTTGCTTCTTACAACATTGTCATCTCCATAGTATGAAAACTATTACTGGTTATTCATTACCCTATCTTTTTCCACACTTTCCACATCAGATTGGCAGTTTCCAGATGATGTTATCCAAAAAGTGAAATTTTTGTGGGCTTATTCACAAAGAGGAAGCCTACACAGATTGTTGACTCTCCCAAGGGAAGGGGGGTATGATTAGGAACAGTAGCTGGTACCCTGGCCAACATTCTTCTCTCCCAACTGACTGGCTTTCCTCCAACTTCCCAAGTAAAGAAGGTAACAGTCAGAAAAGTGATGAGGCCACAGCAAGTAAATTCTATGGATGACATCCTCTGCAGACCCCTACTTTAATGCAATATGGTGGGGGGAAAACAAGGCGGGCAAAGAAACCAAGATTTCTTCATTTTCAAATTTCAAATTGAGGCGACATGATGTCCCAACAACTGGTCTTTTATTCGTATACTAGTATTCAACAGTATTATCGGTACTTGTAAATACATCTCAATTAACTAGGACAATTGTAGCAAAATGGCTTCTTGTACCATCATGGGCAGCTACATGTATAACATACCACAGTACAGGGTATTCTTATGCGATGGAACAACGTAGAGTTGTCAGTATCAAATGTGAGCAATTGTGCCTCAAGTTTGCTGGATCCCTGATGGTCTCCGAACTGACTTTTGATATACTTTACCCATTTTTGGCACATTGACCACCGAGGGCAACAATTTTTTTTTTCTTTTTTAAATCAGGCCACACCAATTTAATTTCTTGGTTAACGGATTTGCGCGCTTCATTTTTTCTGATTTGCAAAAAAAAAAATCAGAATCAACTGCAAAATGCTCATAGTTTGCCCTGAACAGTTGAAAACAGTCCTTTTCTTCCTAGTTGTTACAGTTATTCCATCTTTCAATGCAATGGTATCATTAAAAGTTCAAAATTCATTGTGTAAATTTTGAACCAGCCTGGTGTGTTGACTTCATGGCTCCAATCGTACCATTTTGGGCCATAATAGGATTCCTAGGCCTGTTTTTATTTATTTTTTTTTTCTACCCGCCCGCTCCATCATTTTTCTCGAAAAATCTGTTAACCAAGAAATTAAATTGGTGTGGCTTTAGGTGAAAATTAATGCACGCGCTGATGTCATCCATAAAAATGACTTGCTGTGGCCCTATGGTGTGGGCAGAGCAAGCTGGTAAGATCTGTGTTACTGCTATGATTGATCAGCACTAAAGATCCTACACGAAAGCCTGGCAATACTGACAAAAGCATTTAATTTTGTGGAAACAACTCCACTGGCTTCTTGCCATTCACTTAATCCCATCTCCCGGGGTATAATACTCTCCAGTGAAGCATTGAATTAGTTCCTTCATACTGCCAGACTGCAACCGAAAGTTATAAATCATTGGGAAAGTACTTATTAACATGTATAGATAAATGTACGCCATGACATTTTGTAGTCATCACCAATGCTACAGCACTGTTTAACTTAATGAATGGATGGATCAGAGTTCTAGCAAGCCTGAAATCTTTTTCCGTCATCGCAATTTTGTTTGACCTAACACAACGTTGAGCTTTGGCAAAATCCTAGGAGAAAATTTTGAAATCTCAACCCTCTGAAACACAGCTAGCATTTTGAGGGGCAAATTTAATTTTGTTGGTAGACTTAGCTCAGTTAGCTTAGTTTAATGACATGTATTTCCATATCTTAACAGTTACATGCCTATTCTTTCTTGTCTGTCAAAGATGACGGATTGGTCAAAATTTTTGTTTGCTGTGTCAAAATTCCCTCAAATGATGGAAAGACGGACACTGGCTACAATGCTGGAATGGATGAATTCCAAATTAGTGGCTTTTATTCTCGGCTTTCACGTGACGTCACGGGGCTTGCGTAATACAGGCGGCCGCCATGTTGGTGTACCTCGGTGTAGTGCTATGCAGTGTCAAGACATTGGTACCGAAGCCATACAACTTAATTAACAGCCACACGATAATTCTGCAGTCTTTGATGATGACAGATGACAAGGTTTTCAATGAAATTGTACATTTTTGAGAGGATAGGAAGTCAAAGGATACGATGACAAAGGATATAGGACGACAAAACTTGCGTATGTGTGAACGAACTTCAAAGACTGACGTTACTAGTATCTCCTTCACAGTCCTACAGTGGACAGGATCCGTATGTTGGTCACTCTAGTCTATTTTTTTTCTCAATAAATGAATTAAGAGAGAGAGAGAGGTTCTGGGAAGTGTGTTTTGGACAGTTCTCTGTGCGCGGGTCACCCGTGTCAGTGTCTGATTCCTTCTCGCGACAACTTATGACTCGCGTAGCGGAATGGTAAACAACAATTTCGAGTGGAGCGGACGGGTTATCCCCAATCAAATTATGGTAAGCCTAAGTTTCAGCTTTTCTTGGTAATGTAAATCCTTGTTTTACTATCGGTTGCTGTTTCAAAATTATGGGTTCTGTGTGTAATAATGCAAAATGCCAGTTTGATTCATGCCCGCCGGCGGCTTTGTTGTGCACTTTCATCTAGCCCCTTCGGTTTCGCCGCTGACAAACTGGAGTTCATGAATATTTTTTCAAGCAAAAAGTACTCATGTCTCTTTTGGAACCCCATTAGAATGAGAATTTCACATGACGGCTTGTCATCCCTGTCGACAGAAATTTTGTTGGCCGCCTCGAGTTTGCGGGAGTAAATCATCGGCGTTGGGAGGGGAGCCTCCGGGCATAATTTTGTTTACGTACCCGTAGTTGTAGTTTTGCCGTGAAAAAAGTTTTTGGGTAACCTCTCACAACCTATGCATGAATTAGCTTGTGAACATTGACATTACAATATTAGGGTATCATGATAAGCAGAATCTTAACGCAATTTTAGTGCTAAGATCGGTAATTTTGTTGGGCTGTCAGGGTGAACTCGGAGTTTTAGCACTTAGGCTCAAATTGAGTCAGACTGCCACGTGTATCAAAATAAATTCACTTGCACCGTGTAAACTATTGTTT